GACAATTGAGACCAGCCCAGCTAAGTCTTCCTTCACTTCAGAAAGTCTCAAAATGTAGATGACAGGATTCACAGCAGCGTTCATAACGACACTAAGCCGAGAGAGGAATATGTTGACGTACACCACTTTGCCAATGAAAGTAATGTGATCGTCAATGCTCAGGAGAACCACCAAGATGCAGAGCCAGATAGGGACATTGAAGACAGCGTATGTGACTGTGTAGAGGACGATGGTTATGGAAGCCTTGCTCATAGCAGCAGCTCTGTCCGTCCAGCTTCCTGGGTTTACAGAGGCAGAGAGCTGTTGAAGATGGGAGCCTGGGTTACAGGAAATGGAAGGTTTCTGGTACCTACTCATCCGGCTCCGGTGCTTGATGGTGATCATCAGGATATATCCGCTGCAGATAAAGACAGGGACTGCAGGTAGGACCCAGGTTATTATAACCAGGGAGTAGGACACTACATTGTATGCTGCTGTGTTGTAATCCAGGAAGTTAAGATCAGGTAGGCCCCAGGAACAGGCCCCTATCTGGGGAGCAAAGTAGATGGGGGGAGACTTGGTGCTGAAGAAGAGGGGGAGGGCTGCCTGGGCTACTTGGAAGAGGAGATATAAGAAGACGGAGAGAAGAATATTGCGGTTCGTGGGACGAGGTACCAGATCACAGATAGTCATCCATCTGACCACACTTAGTGTGGCTACCACAAACACAGACATTCTGGAGGACACATTGAAGAGAAATCCGGTGAGGATACAAAGCGGGGGGCTGGAGAGAAGGACAGGGTCCCTGCTGTATACCATGCTGATAGCAGAGGGGAGACAGCAGAGGCAGGTCACTATGTCTGTTACTGACGCCACCAGGTACAGGAGAAACGTAGCTTTGTCTGATCGTCTGTAGAATGACGGGAGACACAACGAATTCAGCGCCAGGCCTGGGAAATTATCTGTTTCAAATCTAATCTTTATTTAATGTTTTGTCTCATAGCAAAAAACTTCAATTTATTACTTATAATTTTTAGCTGACCAACTGCCAGTAATTTATTTGCATATTTGTAATATGTTTCTTGGGATAAAATAATGGTTATGTCTCACCTATAAGGCAGGAACTGATTTCTATCGCCCCGAATATTTCGTCTGTAAATGTCATTATTCTACTGAGAAATGAAGGTTATTCATTTTAACACAACAATTTTAACATCTAAAACATATAAATAAAAATAGTTCGCCGGAAATTGTCTTGGGACGAACTATTCAGAATGAACGTATTTGAAGACAAAAGGTACGTGAACACAAAAAGTCAACAGTATGAATATGACTGTAAGATAGAAGAGAACGCTGGCTATGATTAATACAAAAAAAGAGACCTACTGAATATTGTGATATAACAGACAGAATATTCATATATATATATATATATGCGATCTACAAAGATCTAAACAGATTGTCACGTGTCACGTTTAGAATGGGGAGCCACATACCTCATACTATCGCACTCTAACTTAATATTTGATCGAATTTTGTAGAACCACTTTAATTCTACCATCTACGATCGACAGTATCTGACAAGTTTGTCGAAGAATAAGGGTACCAGAACCAATGGTTAAATAGCTTTCTATTTCAGACTAGACAAGGTCTATTGCAACACCCACTGCATAGCTTTGATCTCGCTAAACTCTTACACGGGGAGAGAGGGGAGGGGTCAGGGGTGGATAACTAAAAGGAAATTAAAAGTTGAGCCACTGAGTGTCCAGATTAAAGCTTAAGTTAAGAACATCAGGATAATTTCCTTTTGAATGAAACACTATGTAATACTTCAGGACTACATATACATACAAAATAGCACACATAATTCTATTGAGAACGTTGCTCAGGAATCAGGATCAGTCTTATTTTGATGACAAGGAGTGGCTGAAGATAACAGAGACAGGTGTATTTTGCTGTTAGACACATGATTAATACAATCATATTTTAATTTAAATTTGATCGAATTTTGAATCAAACCTCTACTCCACCCTTATAGCTGAATAATAGTGTTATTGACAAGTGTTTGATTCGGTGAAGATTAAAGCTACTGCCGGTCGACAGCTTATCATCTAAATCTAGAGTCTAGACAGGGACTGATCTGAATAAGTCTCTTTCCAGGGGTGTAACGGCTACCCCAGAACCCTACTATGTAGGAGGATGAAGGGGGGGGGGGGGGGGGGGGCTCCGGATAAGAAGCTCAAATACTGATCCAAACGAATGAAAAGTATAGTTTAAGATTTGTTAACTCCCTAACTATGATGTTTATTGTTTATGGTACCAAATGAGCATATTTGTATAATTTAATCAAATATTGAGGGGAAAAAAAGCATCGTGTCAAGCAATGAGGATTATAGATGGTGATTGGCTATCTAGAAGTCAAGTTGTTACATAACGCTGATTGGCTGCAGGGCACCGTATGTTATCTAGATGGTAATTGGTTCCGAGAACCTATGTGGCAGATCAATCAAAGCTCGTAAATACTCTAAATAAAACCGAATCCACCATTTTTATTCATTATAAGTTACATTGGAAGGTTAGGTTTCTCTTTCTTTATCAGTTACATTGGAAGGTTTGGTTTCTCTTTCTGGATTTGATACATCAACAAATATCGATTTAACTAGCGAAACAATTTTCTGAATCTACCTGGCGAAAAGAAGTTCAGTAACCAAGAACGAAAACTGATTAACACTTTTTTAGCCTGGGGACCCCAGGCTATCATGTTCATAAACATATAAAATAGAGATTCGGCGGAATGACAGGCTGAGCGCCGCCCGGTAACACTTCTCAGGAAGTCAATGACATAAAACTGCAAGCTTGGTTTACTTCCATTTTTATTTGTTTGTCAAATTTGTTTGTCAAATTTCTATCAGGAAACAGAGTGCAGTGCAGGGAGAAATAAGTTTCACCCTGAATGTAAGAGAATGTAATAGAAAGTTTCACCCTGTAATAGTTATAATCTGAACATTTAAATCTGTCCCGCGGATTTGTCAAACTGACCGTCGGTTGAATTGCAAAAATGCTGACATGCGCAACGGTCAAAATCCAAATACTCGCGTTCAGTTAAACAGTTTAATAAGTTTAACAGTTAATTAATCAAGTTATCGTTTACGAAAACGCATATAACTGTATTCATTATTCTCCGTTTCAATTACTCCAATTCACAGTTACCGGTCACAAAGTCTAAAGTAGACAATGTTAATGTACTTGGTTTTAAAACTATTTCTCCATGTGCTTGCTAGTAACTGCTCCTTCATCACAAACTAGCGTACTCATCCGAAACACGTAGTATGCAATTTAATTGTTGCTTTCTTTTGAGACGTTACTCTAGTTTATCAATGGTTTTATCAGTTTGAAATGATCTTAAACCACACTTGAAACATTGAGGCGATTGTTTTGTTTTACGTGGTTTAAGAACCTATATGATCACGATTGTTCAATGGATGTTTTTTAAAAGATCCCAAATAAACACTTCGTAATAATGGTGTTTTATTGAAAGTGGGAGTTGCTTTTCCTTGTCTTGATTGGTTCTAGTATAGGGTGGCGGTACAGATATCGAACTATATATACTACAGTAGTCCCTTAAATACCAGTCTGCCATGAAATGTTTAAAACATCAACGTGTAAATTATCCTTGAGCCTGCACCTTAACTTCTATACTGAGTTACAGTATAACTATAAAGTAAAACTCAAGTTGGATGCATGCGTTGGTTTACGGGTAATTTAGAAAAGCTGTTGATGCCAAGTTAGGAACTCACGGCAATTATAAGCAAATCATTGCTTGTCGAGCCCAATAATTTCAGTGCTCAAGAATCGTGCAGTTCTGATTGGCTTCCCAGTGATATGAGACCTCATGCTCAACCAATCGTTTTTCAGAGTTTCTGATGAAAGACTGAGCACTATAGAGTATAGAGTTATGGTTTACATGCTCGATGTTAGTCTCACGAATGTAGTATCCTCAATTTTGCTCTCTTGATAGGAAAATCTCTTATATTTTCCTAATCATATCAAAATCTTAATGTCAATGGATGACACAATGTCAATGGATGACACAATTAAAGTTTCCCATAAAATTGTATTTTAATTCTTCCTTCTTCTAACTTGCAACTGCCGGCTCAATCCATTTTACTGGTATTTTAGTTTTGATAATCTAAAGCTTACAGTAGACTGCAAGGCGTTTAAAACACATAGTTTTCATCAGCCCCCTCTCGATTGAGATACGAATTTTCAAAATTTAAATAGAACTTGATTCAGTTTCATTAAATTTATTGATCTTACATAGTCAAACTTTATTAAGTCCTTATTATGAGACTGCTTTGAAATTCGTTTCTTCAGATTATGTCACAGCAATTATTCATTTTAGCTATAGACATCAAATATCGATTTGCACTTTCGCTATATCTTTAAAAATTTAAATACTTATCTTGTTTCATGAGCCCATCTAATATCTGATCATGATATAAGTTTGGTAATTGATCAGTTAACCTATGGGAAAGAATCTTTGTAACTCTATCTATCATCATGAATTCGTAACACATACGTAATAAGAAAGTTAAACGTCTTAGCTTTGTAGATATTGATAAAGAATATCCTTAGTTTAGGAGGATGGATGAGGTAGCAACAAAACTCGTCCAGGAACGCGGTTAAAATTGCAAATCGCAATCAGTCAATTTTTAAGAGCTTCTTTCAGTGTATAGTTTTGAAGTAAAGTGATGAAATATGTAAACAGTTTTTTCGACTTTACAAAACATAGGCTTGGCAGTCAATATGACCATTTTAAAAATTGTACTAACTTTATAAAATCTATGGACACAGCAGAAAATAAACTTCTTTCATGACTTGGTCATATTTTGGACTTCTTTGCCTGTCTCGAAATTAAACTCGGACATACTTATTCCTTGCTTGTTGAATAGAATCGTTCGACTTCTTGATTAACATCCAGTACTCTGTAACGATAACAACTATTTGTACTCTCTAGCGAGGAGCAAGTTTCAAAAGTTGTCTGAGCTGGAGCGACATGACAGTCTGATGAGGCAGGTCTTACAACTTACCATCTTACTTCTGCTTCAACTTGATTATTCACAGTAAGTGGAACTAAAACAAATATATGGTCCAACATATTGTTGGGGTTTATATAAATTTTAGAGATTTTAATGGCCTTTATGCTATAACAAGAGCATGGCTGTGTAAGAGCATGGCTAGACAGAGCTTCTGTTTGTAAAATATTTTAATCAAAATATGACATGAACGATGAGAAAAATCATTTCAGAAGATGTATCGGAAAATAATTAATTGAAATTTATTACCTAATGTCAAGTTTTGAGTTTGATTTCAAATTTAATGAAAAATCTCCGCAGTGGTGAGGAATGGGACCCCGAAAACACACGTAAGTTATTTTATTAGATTATTGTAATGACTTATGCGATTAACTGTCATTCCTTTTTAATACTTGCTTTTTGTATTTTGTTTTCCAACTCCTAAGTAACGAATGTGTCAGTGGATCTACTGTCCGCGTCAGTCCATTTTAATAAATAAAATTGAAAGGATTGATTTTTTATAAAGTCATGACGTTGAGTTGTCCTGTAAAACGCCTTTGGCTCTAAAGTCTAAGTATGAGCATATACAAACATTTACTTAAAATATGCTGACGCGCTTCACTTGCGCCATCAAACCAATTTAAAACAACTAATAAAGTAGATCTTCGAGGATTTATTTGTCCTTTTACGGTTATCAAACATTTGTAGTTGCTGGGGAGCAAAATGTCGTGCACGATTGCTTATACTTATAGAGTAATAACTTAGTAAGAAACCACAAACAAAAGCCCACGGTATGACATCACATAGTGAGCCACATACTCACAACGTTGCCAGTTACTGAGTAACGCACATAATCTTTTAAAACAAGCACTGCATTGTACGCACTTCACTCTGGTCTTATCTTTTAACTTTGCAAACTTTCTCAACACTGCTTATGACATTGCCATTGTTTTGATCTTCTAATGCAGAATATACGTCAGTTGATGATCAAATGTAAATCATGTCGACGCCCAAGCAACTCCAAATATAACGAGGAGGCGGCGAGGAGAAGCATTTCCGACTCCTTAATTTACATTCTTGTCATTTTTGTCCAATCTTAATCGTTCTATATTGCCGGTCATTTCAGAGACGACTCGTGCATTCGCACTCCTGCTTAATGAAATACGCTAGTGCAGCATTACCGTGGCCAATGCTGAATGCAGCAAATTAAATAGTCACATTGCTACAAGTGTTCAACTTGACGAATTAATCTAAAACCTATCGCTTCACAAGCACTGTTCAATCCTATTCAATCGCAGACGTCCGCTGGAATTATGGTCTGTGTGACAGTCATGAATCATTTTTTTGCGTAATTATGACATTTTTTGCTTGCTTCTTAAGAAATTGTTCGAACATCTCAAAATACCTTCGGATTTGATCGGTAGAAACATAATAACATTTCAACTTTATCAATGATCACTTATTAATGCTCAGAACTCGATGCCAAATCATTTAGTCGCCGTAGTCATCTTTAATTGTAAAAAGCTAACAGTTATTAATCGGTAGGCTATACATTTTATTAAAAACTCTAAAGCGAACCCCAAAATGAGCTATCATTACCAACGAAGTTCGAAGGAGGTTAAACTTAATTAACGATTTGAATGGCATTCTTTATTCTCAAGTCCTAAATTTCTCAAGGCTATCCAAGGACTATAGGATGATCTCCGTCAAACGATGCGATATCACGCGTCACGAGAGAATTGGGGGTCTTGTGGCCTAGAATGACTATAGAACAGTAGAAGAGTTGTGTGATGTGAAATGGCGTACAGACTACAAGTCTATTCACTACGCCTCTTGCGCAGGGCACCCACACCGAGAACACGTGTGCGCGCACTATATCAGTTCATTTCTTGGTTGTCTGTTTGGTTGACGCGTCTAATTGCTGTCTGCACTGGTCGTTTTAAACAAATCCTTAAAAGTTTGACATCGAAATAGGAAGTTTTGCATCTCTCAATTAAAGCGGCTATGAATTGTATAAAACTATTACGTCTAAAATAGTCTTTGTTTTTTGATGGCCAAGTCTAGTCTAAATCTTGGGTGGGTTTCTGCAGTGCTATAACACATCAGGTTTTTTATAGCAAACCTGAAACCATCAACTCTCCAATCATGTGATCAAATCTAGAACCACGGTTATGTGTCTCAATGATACATGAAGTGATTTTCAATCGTGCGCTGACTACTAAAGTGTAAACGATGAAGCATGACTGTCAAGTGTCAATTTGATCATTTTCAAACTCGAATCTTGAAAAGCATCCATGTCCAGCAGTTTTGTACTTTAAGGGAAAATTGCAGTGCTGAAGACAAACTGCCTTGACTGAATCACTCTCATTTGTGCATTTGTAAGCCGTTTGGCATGTGACCATGATTTCGAATGGAACAACGCAAATGCAAGTTTTTGCTGCATATCACGTGATATTTGTTTAATATGCAAGGCCGGTGACGCACTGCGTGATCAACAGAACAGTACGCACTTTTCACGAGCATTGACAGTTCCATTGTAGTCGAATTTGGTGCTCGTTAAGAGGTTGCCGCGTTTAAAAATTTTAAAATGTTAAGCTGTTGAAAATACGCCGCTCTTTGGGCATTGACGACTTGGCAGTGAAATCGTATGGGCCGCTTATTTATCTATCACGTGACATCTTCACTCTTCAGTTGGCTCCGTTTGATTTTGCCTTTCGCATAAACTGCTTGTTGCACATGTTGTCATAGTTTGAAATCCGACCTTGGATAGCAAGATGACGATAAAGTTTGTTATGATTTCATACTTACTGTTTTCCTACGTTACCGAATATAATCGAGGCTTATTACCAGCACTTAGTTTGTGAATTGTGACACAGCGTTGTTTCGTGTCGTCCTATAAGTACGAGGACGATAAGAGCTGTCGCTATGATAACTTAGTAGTTTGTATAATGTATATTCATAATTTAACTGACAGTTTATTTTCTGTCAGATAGGGTTAAAACTTAGATTGAGAATTTATTGATCATATTATATTGAGAATAAGACCGGTTGAATGTAATCGCACATTTACCTGATACCTCTAACCTCTGTTAAGTTTGCCAATGCCAATGCTTACTTTGAGATGAACTTAGGTAGAGGGTAAAGTTGCATATAAGACTTAATGATTTGACAGGATGGTTCATTTCTTTGTGTAGAGGAAAAAAGGCTAAAAGTTTATGTATAGCTTTACAATTTACAAGCGTCAGCTGATTTCAAAGTTAACTCCTAATTACCATATAGCACACTTTTAATGACGAATTGACGACCAGAGGATGATCTTAAATATCAGATATATACTCTGTATTTCGTTGCTCATCAATGCAGCGTCAAGTAAGTATGATTTTAAACTAATTCGTTAGGAGAATTGCTGAATAAGGTAGTGTGTAGCAAAACTAAACAGTTTAATTCGTTGGATTAAAGTTAAGTTAGCTTTCTTTATAGTAACAAGTAGTGGTAACAACGCGCTAACATCGTGTCGAATATGATAAACTGTCAAAAATCTAGTTTCTTTGTTATATCGGTGGGTTGAATGAACGGATGACTATATTTTGGTAGATCGATGATAGTCTTATATATTAGATAAGAAGATGGTAGCTTGTGCGCACATGTTGATATAACGTAATAAACCAACGCACGTCTACTGTAAAACAGCAAAGTGTGATATAGCAGAGATATGGGTTGGGGTTTGTGAAATTTGACTAGATCGGCAATAAGGGGCAATTTCATTAGGCCTTAGGACTCGAACCATGCGTACAGTTGATATTGATAATAACCTAACAAACCACGTGTCAAGAATGCCCATTTGTGACAACTGTATTTGCCATGGTAACAATGCGTAGTTGCCTTGGTAACAAATCGGAGTTGCTTTCTCAACAAGGCTGTAAGGTGCCCCCTGCTGAGTGAGTTTGATCATGAGATTGGCTCCACCGATATTTGCACAGCACGCTGTTCACTTCACCCACTCTTCATATCTGTTCTGTCTGTTTACTGACGTGAAGATAGTATGTGGTTAGCACCCACGCTTCTCTTCGACACCTTTATCCTTATCTCAGTCATGTCAGGTACAGGTCTATAGATTATGCGCGAAAAATACTTGAGCCTAAATGCTTCTTTATCACGGCAACACTGTACCGTCGATTGGTGGTGACTCTGAACTTACTAGATTAATAGTTTTAAACTAATTACAACACTACAAATCTATTACATTTATTGAGAAAATTGTGTAATGTAATGCGATGGAAGTTCTTTAAGCTGGCAATTCCAGTCCAAACCCTGGAAACATGACATAAAAGATTCGGTTTTACTTCTTTGAATGAAAAGCACTAATGTAATATATCGAAGGAGATAGTTTCAACTTTCAATTACTATGCTGTCACTATAAAAACGAACCTTAACACTATTTGGAAAATGTCCATGAGCCAAATTCTCTATTCAATCTAACTCCAATGCGAATGTATAGCAACCTTTCAATTATCAGTATTTTTTTCTCAACAATCTACGAAAATATGTCCCTGCGCATAAAAAATAAGGAAAAGAAAGCGCAGAAATTATCAGAATCATCACGTCTGAATTTTTAACGAGTCAATATCAGCAACTGATGAACAGGGACGATCAGGTTCGGCCTAAAACTAACTAACAAGGGAATTTTCAGCGGATTTGTTTGTGACTGCCAACACGTTTGACCTGATCGGGTTTGTGGGGGGCGGAGTTACAATGTACGCCACTGTGAGGGGAGACCCTCGCCCCACCGCAGATGACATAACCTGGATAAAGATGCAAGGAAACATGCCCGAGGATCGAATACTGATAACATACGATCTCAAAACAAACGAGTCTAGAATCCGTATAAATGAGCTGGAGTATGACGATGCTGGAACCTACTATTGTACTGCCATGATAAACGGGGTCAGCAAGAGCGTCAGCATGACATTGAACGTCGTCGGTAAGTGCCTTTAGGGTAAATATAAATAGATTATCATTATATGTGATGATTTTAGTAAGAAAATAATAAATTAGATATTGGTATCATAAGCTTTTAAGCTCTCACATGACCCCAATACCCCATTAGTCCGCCGAATAGATTATTCGCTAATCTGGGCGATTTCCACTGCGCCTTACAATTACCATTGTTCAGCGAATTGGCGGGGCATATGCAGTATACAAATTTTTTATTGTCTTTAGCTTTAAATCCTGTCCATTAGCTTTCTTTCCCCACTTATGCCATAACCTACCCTCAGTGGAACCGGAGATATTTAGAGTAACAGGACTGATGACTTTTAAAGCAGTTGGTCAGAGTGTAATTCTGAGTGTCACTGTGAACGGCAACCCCATTCCCGCTGCTGAAGACATTACCTGGGCCAAGATGGACAGCAGGAGTATACCAATGCCGCTGTCACATGATAGGTAAGCACTAAGTAATGCTATGTGCTAGCTTTTATTGATTTTCATTTTTCCAACCTTGGTAGTGGTGGATATAGTGTGCGTAAGACTGCAGTTGTATACTTTGTTTATACCAAATTTGATGGAAATTGTTAAATAGGTAATAACAACCATCTCAAGATCGATATCAAATGTCAATTTTACTCAGATGTATTATATAACACCGTATTTAAATGAATAAAAATGATAACTGGTGACGTTAAGCAATGAGTCGAATGTCGATAAGTGGTAAACCCCTCCAAATTGATAGAAAATCCCATTTTAAAAGTTATACCACTCGCAGATTTGAGCTTAATAACGGCAACAAAGAGCTCACGATAACTGATCTAGAGATTGCAGACGAGGGCTGGTACAAATGTCTCGTAAAAACTGACGAGGGAAAAGCGGAAGCTCCTTTCTTGTTGCATGTTCTAGGTTCGTTTATGTTTAAAATAAAGAAATTCAAATTCAACGAGAATTGAACCTTCGAAAAAAATCTTCTTTCCAAGATGCAAGGAACTAGATCTGGTCGGATGTAGGATCAAGGCGTCTTAAAATTATCGATGCGTATATATCAGACGAGAACGAATTGACACCTGTGAGATTGATGAAGCTGTTATAAATAGTTGCTAGGTTCCACTGCGTAGATTATTCTGACGTGTTCCTTTGTGGTTGGAGGGGATAGCTGGCAATGACAGCCGGAGTTAATCAGCTTTCAATAGAATCATGAGTGGACGTCTGAAAACCACTAACCAGAAACGATAATGTCATCGTGTCGTGACAGTTTGGTATTGGAAACGATTCTTACATGACACGAGGAACTTAGCACTTACATATTTGGTTACGGAACCTACTGCCAAGTGCCAACATGTTCTCATATCAATTAATTGGCTGTGGAACCTACTGTGAAATTGAACTATAGGTCCGGTCGAGACTAGTTTAAGATAGTTGGCAATTAACTTGCTAGGAGCTCATATTCACATATTATATTGAACTCCTCCCAATGAGTGAAAAGTTTTAACATTTACTCCTCCCCAGGAATGAGAAGTATCGAGGAAAGTGCAGTAGGTGTGGTGGGGAACTCAGTGAGTATGTCCTGTGCCGCTACCTATGTGGAGAACGTTTACCCGGGAACCAAAACCACCATCAACTGGTACCGGTACGAGGCTCCTGACATACCGCTAGCAGGATCAACGATGGAGTCTGAGGTGATTTGCTTTACGTATTTGCGTTTAAATAACAGTTAAAGTCATCGGACTGGCAAATAAGCAAAAAAAAGTCACATGACTTGTATAATAAGTCGAGGCTAAATAGTTGGCAGTCAAACTGTCTAGACATAATCCAGTTGAAAATATCGCTGGACTAAACAAATATTGCAGGAATCTTCGACTCAAGCGTCCACAAGCGTGCTAACCCTGACTGATCTGGACTGGACCGACGAGGGAGAATACTTCTGTACCTCGTCCTACCCAGGGTTTCCTGATGATAGCCTCTACAACGCCACCCTCAACATCAGAGGTTAGTGGGTTGTCTCGGTGGGTTTCTTGTGATCTTATGATTAGTTAAATAGCGAAATTTTATCTGAAAAGCATCATAAGTATTGTAGAATAGATCTTCTTTCTTCTCCGATCCTAGTAACTTAGCCCCTAAATTCTTCTGCATGAAGACTTCCTTTAAATTGAAGCCCGTTACGGTAAGAAATTTTCCGGCGCGTGTTCTTTTAGCTGGCTGATTATGCGACCAGTTGGTTGGTTATTGTTTAGAAGCCTATGTTTACAAACACTCCTATGTTTATGTGGTTGTATCTTATTTCTTTTGCATGTATACTGTGGTTAGAAGCATCTTTCTTTTACAAAAATCAAAGTTTTAGGTAAAACTTTGTGTTCCCGTTCCTCGTTTTTCCTCCTAAAAATATTGGAAAAAATAAATAAATAAATAAAACCAAAAATAAAACTAACAAAATCTCAAATCAGTCACTCACCCACCCCACTCACTCACCGACTGACACACAAACAAACCGCGTATATCTAGCCGACAGTTGTCGTCGATCCCCGCCAAGTCCGTCCGGTATCCAAGAAGTGGTCAGTGTCTCAAGACTGGAGGTAGTATTTCATATTTGTTGTTTTGTACCGGTGTAATGTCCGCAAGCAGTCGCAAGCACTCTCTCGAAGGTTTGCGACCTGTCTTTTCAGAAATATATTATACAAAAATGGAATCTGTTGTCAATAAAAATCTGGAAAATTGTCAATTGAGAGTTGCTTGATTGATTTGAAAGGACAATGATAACAGATCGGTAACTGCAGTTTTGTTCAGGTTTGAACAGTATATCAGGCACCGAAGTGGAGGGTGTATTGGGAAACCAGCTAACTATGACATGTGTTGCTAGAGGAGATATACAGGTGATCCCAATATTTTTCAATTACGAGCTATTATCTGATAAAATTGTACTTTACTATAGCTCTTGAGACTGTATTTCGAGCTATTATCTGATAAAAGTTTACTCAGTATTGTCTTGATTCCGTAAGATTCGTCAAAAATAACTGTCTGAAACTGACACAGCGCGAGATTGAAATGATTTCATCTCACGGATCTAAACAGTCAACTAAACACAATCACCAGGCTACAATAACATGGAACCACAACGACACGACCACGCGTGCGGGGGTAACCACCGAGACAACCTACAGTGCACCCTACACAACAAGTGTTCTGACGCTGCCAGTACCTGCCCTCTTTGATCAGGGAGTCTATGAGTGTTCTATCGAGTTCGACGAGCAAACCTCGACCATAACAGGCTCTACTCAACTTAATTTGAACTGTAAGTGCTTTCTGGTTTTGAGCCATGTCCTGGGTCTTTAAAACCCATAATTTTCCGAAAGTTCAACTTAATTTCTTACCGGTATGAACGATCGCTTATACCTTGAAGGCTGGAACATTTAGACCTATTTATAGCTTTATCTAGACCAATTCATCAACCTTTTCCCAAGCGGGACATTGCAAGATCAGCTACTTGGCTGAAAAACATGCATCTTTTAAATTACAATCGAAACTGATTGCATCTTCTAAGAATGAAATCATAATCATCTTGCAGCGTAACAGAGCGATCAAATTTTGAGAAAGCTATTACGTAAATGATAACAATGCTACAAAGTAGAAATAGTCTCTGAGCTAAATTAAAATGACCGCAAGGTTCAGTGTAATAAATATATAACTGTTGCAACAAATTACGTATAGCTATACGTAGCTAAACGTAACGTAATTAAAGATCTTTTTTACAACCTTCAACTAAAATCTGTTTCCTTCCAGACGTATGGAGGACGTCCGGAGCTGCTCTAGGAGTGGAGGACAATTCCGCAACAATCACGTGTTCTGGTATTGGAAACATTGCTCCTGATTCCTGGACATGGAATGATCCCAACACGACGGACAGTTCCCAGGTAAGCCTAATGGCACCCTATTATCTGTTTAGAAATTATAGATGTAAAGAATACTAAGAGAATTTGTCCATGATACTGGCTTATGGTTTGAAAGAACTCAAGTGGGGACCAGAGGGGTGCCTATTATAATATAAACTCCTATTCCCAAATCTATTGTTTTCAAGATGTTCGTTATAAAAAATAATTCAAAGTTTATTTAATTGCAAATAGGGGGAAGTTAGATCAAAAATTAAAAATAATCCAGTACATAACGGTCACGTTGCTCTATCGACGAACACGAAAAAATTAAGATCCCAATTTTACTTTCTGAGTTAGCTAGATAGTATATATAATATATATATATATATATATATTAAAGTCACTATTGTGACGGTACATTAGAACTAGACAGAAACAAAGTGTGAAGGGCCTGAACGGAACCCCTCGGTTTCAGTTCCTTGTTTAACACTGCCGTACAGCAAGGACATCCACATTCCACCGGGTTCTCCAAGGATGCCATGTCGAGCGGACGTGAAAGATTGGTTTCTAAATTTGAAGCCTTTTTGTAGAATCTTAAAAGTCCACTGTAATTTCGTGCTTTTAGTGGTACATTGTTTTGAGCCCCGTAATAATATGTAATATCGTTGGATCTTTATTGAGCGAGATTCAATAATTTGAAGTTATCAGAATCTAGGAACAAGGTAAATTTGGGTTTCTCAACCTCGAATAATGCGCGCTCGCAATTAAAACATAAATACCCAATGTCACTGTCAAATAACGCTGATTTTCCCTGCCAATTTTAATCCAAATAGTCAGCCTTGTGAATTGGGTACCATTATGTGAACCATAAAATTGGGGATTATGGCAACCTTCTGAAGAATTCTGGTGAAATCGCTGCAACAGCTAGAAACCCACATTCGGAAAGACGGCAGATCGGCAAATAATCTGTGAGGAAAATTTTGGATTTTGGAGTAAATTTTTTGCCAAAGAAGAAATCTAAAGAAGATTCGACCTTTTTTAGGACATAAGAAATTTTTTAAGGGGAAATATTGCACAAACTTTACAAACTGCCCAATCATGGGTTATACCAAAATAAGCATGAGTGCCCAAACGTAATTAGCAAAAAAGGATACCAACAATACGCCACTTTGCACTGATAGCTGAGGCGCTGCAATATGCACTGGAAGGTGAGACACAGTTTAAAAGCTGCAATTATGGTAAAATATTCTGCAGAATGCTCTTTGACCAGCAATAGAATCAAAACACACCTTGACCTTTAAACAACACCTTCTGTACCGCGCTATAAACTAAAATATCACGAGCAACTGGATTCGTTTAGACATAATCCAGATTCCAGTAGAAAATATCGCTGGACTAAAAAAAATGTATTTTATATAAATTTTATAACAGGATAGTAGATTGACGTACTTAAATCAGTGTTTGAAAAAAAAACTGTTTATATTTCAGTGGAGTACGCTGCAAACGTCAGCAGATAGAAAAGACTCCAGTGTATTCTGGACGGTGAACAGGTTCGACGCGGGCTCGTACACGTGCACAGCGCACTACGAAGCTAGAGGAACCAGTACTGGAGAGGTAGATCTCACTGTTCAGTACATCAAAACCAGCCCCCTCGATCAGACTGCAGTGCACGGAACTGACTCTACTCTAACTTGTGTCGCTAACTTGGCTCCTGATTCTTTCAAATGGTGTGTTTTATGATCGATAGCTAAGCATTTAAAATCATTTGAATTTCTGCAGTATTGGTAAACATTTGATAATCGCTTTGACATTACATGGGACAGTTTACGTTTTGATAATATGAATTTGTCAACTCGAAGATATTTATTGGATATTATAGCTTTATGAGATGTAAGACTTCGGGTTTTACTCGTAGCGTCAAGACATCACGTCTTGCATCAATCAATCTATCGAAGCAATTCGAGATTTCACGAGAAACACCATTACCAGGTTCAAAGAGACAACTGAAATGGATACCCCCACTACCTCCTCCCCAAACCCTACAACCTCCCTCCTGGTCCTCTCTCCAGTTGACTTCGAGCATGCAGGATCGTACAACTGTGAGGCTGTGTTCTCGGGCAAATCAGCTAAAAGTCTAACGTCCACATTCTTTGTACGGGGCTTCAAGGTTCATCCTGAAGTAAGTTTGCGTACCAATCTTATCAAGGTAGTATTAAATTAAGCTAGTTAGGTTTGCAGACTGAAGGATGCAACTTTTTGTCGACTAACCTGTTGACATTTCATGACCAAATGAAGGTTTTTGGATACATATTTATTATTTATGAGAATAAAGTGACAGTAAAGATGACTCTGCCCAGGACACGACGACTGTAAACATGACATCTGCGACCCTGTCTTGTCTTGCTATCGGAGAGAGTGCTCCTCTACTGAGCTGGTACCGGGGTACCACCAAGCTGGATCATGGTCCTACTGTCAGCATGTCTTCCAAAGGTTTGCAAAAATGGGAGAGCGTGCGGAATTTGTTTTATTCGAATGAAAAGGCGGGTACTGCGGCTATTTTTAAAGCAGTATTAAAACTGGGCTCTCAAGCTAGAGTATTGCTATTTATGGTGTGGAAACATTTTAAAACTTGCTCAACTTGACCAATGATGATCTGTCCGAGTGACGACTGACGCTATTTCGAAAGGGTAAACACCTGGTTAAAAACCTTTTATACCTTTAAACGACTAAACAGGTTGAATGGCTATTTGAACTTTAGGTTTACAAATTAAATTGCTCCGTACAGGTCGTTTAAAGCAATACGTAATGTTCTCATAGTTTTTCAGCTCGATAACCACAGTATTTCAAATTAATTTTACATTCATGTTGCAAGAGAATCCAACTGAGTACAAGAAACCTGATTTAACAAGAGGTTTTAATACATAGAGCCCAAGCTAAACCAATTTCCAACCGAACTAAATGATGAACCCCAGATTTCTCTGCAGCTTTCGGATACGAGGCGAGCAGTAATCTGACAATCTCCCTCCTCTCTGCAACAACTGACGATTATCACTGTTCTGCTCGGTACGATGACGTCACAGTGACGTCATCCTCCGCAACCATCCGAGTGCTGGGGGTTAAGAGCGCTCCGAAGGACAGTACCGGAGTTATAGGGAACGACGTGGTGCTGGAGTGTGACCCAACTGAACAGACGGGAGTTATCACCTGGCTTCACAACGGAACTGACATCACGGTACTTACTTTTCAATATGTATCAGTTTTGGGCAATCGGTTAATTATCAACAGAGTGATCCAATTGTCTCATTCTAAAGTTGAAATCGGTCCAGACCATGCCTTGAGAAAGTTTAATGTAATTTGTTTGCCCCTAATTTATTTGCCCCTCACTGCAGATAGTCTAACTACACTGTATAGCTGCAGATGATATAAGTGCATTGCAGATACCTAAGCTGCATATTATATGCATAAATAGTCTAACTGCACAGCAGATAACTTAGCTGCAGATGGCATAACTGCACTGTTAGCTGAGAAATATCTTTTAGATATCTTTTAAATGTCTTTAAAATATCTTTGAAATATCTTTGAAAGTGTTCAAGGTTTATTTTCTTTTTCTGAACAAATAAGTGGTTATCCCTGCGAGCGATCTCATTGAGAAATGTGCACTGTGCAGGTAGATTTACTCAGTGCAGGCAACAAGCCACAAGGTTAACCTGGTCCGGACAACATAATTACCAGAGTGGACATTTATTAAACGTTGCAGATCTCGCACATACATGTGCACCGTTTAATTTCATAATTGATCTTCATGAGGCAAAGACTGTATAACCGTAAATAGCTAGTTTGACACCGAGCAAAGTGAGCACATACTGCAGAGTGCAGAGGTTATAATCATACTTGCAGAAAATATATTAACAACCGGGGAAAACAAGTGGTGCCAGCAACATTTGTATGATTTTGAATGTGATAAAACGAGTGATACCAACTTCTCCCGAACCATGTACCCTAATATGAGGTGTTAGTTAAACTGTAACCACTTTTTGTCAGGGTACCTCCTCAATCACAGTAACAGAAGGAGTATCTGTTCTACACCTCGACAGTGTGACTTGGATCACTGCTGGAGTGTACCAATGTGTTGTGGACTACGCTGACTACGCTAACCCCACCTACGCTGCTCAACCTGCTACTCTCAGTGTTAGAGGTATGTTAGAGAGGGGGTGGATCTACTAATTAACTAATTAGTTAACTAATTAGTTTAATAATTAGTTGATAGCGTTTTCTGAGCATTGGTTTAAAATTATTTCTTCAGGGTTATCTAATATCTATCAAACTTGCATAATCATGCACAGGGCAAAGCAGATTCTGAATGACGCATGTCATCGACTAACTATCACTCTAAATCGAACATTTTAAGCTGAACACTAGCAGATTCTAGCATTCGCTACTCTTTCAACAGCATTACATATCTAATCAGTGTTATCTTTCTGAATTCTGATGCGAAGAAAGAGAAACATTGAGACAAAAGCCGATCTACTTACAATTATCATATAAACCAAACTCGCTTCAGCTTCGTTTCATATAACCGAACTCGCTTCAGCCTTACAAGCAATATTTCATAAACTAAAGCACAAGTATGTCATTCATTTAACTAGATGCTTTTAATAAAGTTTCATCAATCATGCTGATTACATTTCAAAGTTGGCTTGAAAATATTTAATATTGATCTCCAGATTGCTGCATGACTGCCACGTTTGTCGGTCAATTAACATTAAAATAAATAACTTAAAAACGAAATTCCACTGTTCATCTCTTTTTATTATAAGCTTTAACGTAATTTCGTGATCAGTGAAGCAGCTTTATTGCTCTTTAGAGTACTAAAATGAACAACTTTGTTTTATGTAGCACTGTCAGTTTGTTGTTTTTAATAAGTACAGTGAAGCATACTTACTTAGGACGTTATGGATACTAATTTAGTTATAGACTTACTTAAAGATTATTGAGGTTTGCTCAAATTTCCTATAATAAATTGCCCTCCGAAACGTTACTTAACACTAATAATGAAGTGTTGCATCAAATTTATCGCTCAGACATTTCGTCCTCCTGTGAGAAAAAAAAAACAATTACCCATCACTTTAAACTGCCTTATAAAGCACAATAATCAAAACTGGAGTGTAATAGTAATGTTCGTGGTGGTTACTGGAATCTAACAACATGTACTCTGTGTAAACTCTCACGACCGTTAAAATTTCACGTGACATGATACAATGTCACGTGACATGCACTCTATTCAAGTCTAGGAGATTGGAGACTCTAAGATTCTGCAAACATAACAAGCAGAGAGATTTCAATGATTGGACTGGGATGAGAAAAGTAATTTTGTCCATTGTGTTATTATGAATTTATTGTGTTAGTCTGCTATTATGAATTTATGACAAGAAAAAGTATAGAAAATCATAGTCTATAAGTGAGTCATGTAGATTGCAATAGACAATAGGTGTAAATTGTAAGGCGTATAAAAAAATGGGCTGCAACAAAAGGAGCTGTTTGATAAGCTAAAGCACTAAACAGAACGAAAATGCTTAAATAAATGTAAAAGTAAAGATGAAAAAGTTCGAGAAATTGAAAATATCAAGAGATTTAAACTGACAGTAACCTAAAAAATTGCAAAGCAAACCTCAAAGTAGGATTCCCAACAGATATTACCAATTAAAGAATCAAGTAAATATATCCCCTGCATATTAACCCGCACCAACCTGCAGGAGTCACGCAGTCCCCAGAAAGTGTTATAACAGAGGAGGGTTCGGACGTTACCCTGACTTGTCTGACTACGGGACCTCCTAGTCCTACCATAACTTGGTACAAGACTGGGGGCCAGGACTTGGGCCAGGGCTCACTTCTTAACGGTAAGTAATCGCAAAGATACAAGCAACGCTTTCTATATATTTTGATGGGCTAAGCAATCGTTTTCATTTAGCGTTGTAACTAATTTAGTAGAGCAAAAGTAATCTGGTTTATACGTATAATACTGTCATAGAGTCTCTTTTGATGATTAAATAATTTACAAGAATTTACCTCAGATTACAAGAGCCTATTAGTCCTGTCATCAGTGGATTTGACTACAACAGACGACTACAAGTGTGTTGCTGACTACAATGACCTGGGAACTCATCAGAGTGAGATAGCTTCCCTGATCGTTAGAGGCATCCAAAGCCACCCGGTAGCGACAACAGCCGTGAAGACTAACACTGCTCGTTTTACCTGTGTTATTCGCGGCGACAAGGCCCCATCCAGTATCACTTGGTCGCGTGACGACGAGGCAGTTGACATGACAACAGCAAGTGTTGCCACGACGACAAGTGGTGACGACACAACGACGGTGTTAACTCTGACTAATGTGATGACCACTGGGAAATACAAATGCTCTGCTCAGTTCGAGAGTCCTGTTGGGGGAGTTGTGTCAGGCTCTGCTGATTTGACTGTTTTAGGTTAGTTTTGTGACGTAACTTGGGATGCAAATATTGACTTCTTGTTCTGTAGTGTGACATCAAAAGAGCAAAATAAAGTATGAATCAGCGTGATGATTGCTCGTGAACTACAGGTTTATGATTTTAATTCAAATTGCCTCCGACCAACGAACACTCTAATATAATCTACCATAACTTCGGTTGTTTCAACAAATTGCTACGATTCAAATTATAAGAATTTCGATTAAAATTAATAGGTTTTTGTGAGATGGTACGGTAGTGGTACCGACCATCCCCTATATAATGCGAACGGAATATTATATACTTGAAAATTAAAAACCGTCAAATGTTAATTATGAGAAATGTCAAAGAACTTAAGTTTGTCCCATCCGTCGTCAAATTAGTTGATACAGTGCCTGGCTGCTGTTAAATTATCTTTTATGTAAACTTAAAAAGATATAATCTTGTTAAAAGCCAAAACTAACGTAATTAAAATGATGTTGTTAGTATTCCTGACATATCCAATCACTCGTTTGATCGTTATAAGGTTATATAAGTGATGATTAAAATGTGAGTCCTAATCCCGTGACCAAATTCAAGTTAAAATGATGGGCCATCATTGGTCACACTGTATATTGACTTACAAGTTTTATATCGACACCTCTATTTCGTCAATCGATTTGCATGTTGATATACAGTGTAGGTAGCGATGTCGGCGCGATCATAATCAAAGAAATCGTGACTAAAGACACAACCGGAGAAGAAAATATGATATAAATCGGAAAATTTGAAAGAAGCTGGTACATCTTTTAAAACAGAAAGGTTAAAACCTAAATTCTTTTTTCTCAGAATCACAATATAAAATAAACCGTCCCACAGAGTACACAGCAGTGCCCCAAGACACAGACACAGTCCTAGGATACGCCCTGACCTTCACCTGCAAGGTTCACGACAACCCAGCCAGTCTCAAGTTCTACCATAACGGCACGGAGTCTGTCTCCGGGGTCACAACCAACAACAACGTGGCTACTCTCATTGTGGAGGAAGTGGGGTTGAGCTCGGCTGGGGAATACTACTGTGAAGTGGATTATTCTCCTTCACTGGACACGCTAGGTTCGTGATATCTGGGTTATAGAGCTATTATAAAACCGAAATATTTCACAATTTTAAGTCCGTTCTATAGGCGAGGTAGTCATGAAGTACTTTGTAAATAATCAGGAACAATGATATCATATCTTACGGATTAAGATCTCGCTGTAACTTTTATCACATGACTTGATCTATTGTCTCGTCAAACCATTGACCAAAATTAATCTCTGCAGGGGGGAATCTCGATAGTTCGGTTGCCATCGTAACTGTCAGCTCCTTTATTTACGAGCCAGAGGATGTATACGTTAAAGCGGGAAATAGTGCGGACATGAGTTGCAGAACAACGAGCTTCATTCAACCTATCTTCACTTGGTAAGTGCGCCTGATTATATTGAAAAGTGTTTAGGAATCCCCTCAGAAAATTTTGGATCGATGATTGGCCCCAAATTGAACGAACTCATTACGCTCATCAAGAAATTAAAGCGTATAAACCAGATTACTTTTGCTAAATAAAACGTGAAATCATAACCCGAAACAAGGAACATGGAGGCCTGGGACTATTTTATTTATCCGATTTTATTATAGGTCTTAAAACTAGTCTTATTTCAAAGCTACTAAATGATTCCTTTCACCACACTTGGAAAGATATTATGATAATGCAACTGAAATTTCCCGAGCATATCACCATCTCTGTAGAAAACGGTCTCGCAAATATCAACTGTAATTTTACACAGGACGTACTTGATTGCTACACTGAGTGGAAGATTAGTTCGGCTAATGCAGCCTTGGGTTCTATAGATCACTGTGTGTGGTCCAACCCAGCAATAACTGGCATCGGGTCCAAACTTTGGAACAATCATCTTATTGATAGGGGAATATTTTACATCTCAGATTTCCTTTCTATAGACCAAAGTACACTCCTTAACTACGATATGTTCATGAACAAGTGGGAGCTGTCTCCGAATACGATTTCCAAAATTGATTACTGTAACATTATCATGGGGATACGGAGATATAACTGTCCCACGATTAACTCAAGGAATATCGAATTTGTTGACCCGAATATAAAACTTCAATTTTTACATTCTGCAACTGGGCAGGTGAAGGGAAGCAAAATTCGGGATAAAATGTACGATTCTATTTGCCCAAACGAGCTGTCTCCTTTACGTCAGTGGGTTATCGACTTGAACAGTCATTCCATCGACTGGGCAGTCGTTCTAAGCAACCTGTTTTTCTTAGTATCTAAAAACTTTAAGTTGATTCAATTTCAGTACAAACTTTTAATGAGGATCACAACTTGTAGATACATGAGACATAAGATGAAAATTGTTACAGATACTCCCATGTGTAGCCTGTGTAAAACATATTTAGAAACTATTCCTCATATTTACCTCCATTGTATTCACACAAATAGCTTCATCACAATACTTGAAGACTTTATTAAAAGGAAAATCGATAGAAATTACGAAGATCCTACTAAAATTAATTTTATAATCTGTAATCACACTTCACAAATTATAAATTATTTTAATATCGTTGCCAAATGGTACATTAGCAAAAAATTTCAGGCAGGAGACTTGCCGATCTGGCAGGGGTATATCAAACTTCTTAAGCTATCACTTCAAGGAGATAAAATAGGTCACAGAAGTTCTATTGTGTCGATCTTGGCCGATTAGGGTATTATGTCCACTCCATTTTTATTGCTGTCTAAGTTATTTAATTTTTATCAGTTATTGTTACAATCTTGCAGTACTACTAGTAGCTGTCTTTTTGTAGTACATGCCCTGCTTCCTTCCTTTCCTAAATTTCTTACAAGCTCCTCCAGCCTCCTCTCTTACACCCTTTTCACTCACTTCATTTCACTCATTCACTTTATATTTTATTACCACAGTATCTGCCAAAACCAACATGGCCTAAGTAGAAAGGGGCCTTGACGTTGTTTCCCGCTTGGCCCTGCATCCCAAGCTGACGGTTGGCCTCCACTCTAAAGAAACTTACCTTCAGTGAAGGCCGATGGTCAACAATTAGCGATGTAAGAGCTTGGCGAGTACAAATCCTGACCTCCTTTTACACCTTTGGGACGACTTTCGCAAATGCGAGAGGAATGACCCCGAGGAGGGCTCCATTGGTTTTAGTAGGTTGCATATTTAAAAAAATTATAAAAAAAAAAAAAAAAAAAAAAATTAAAGCGGCTGAAGGAAAGTTTTGTTCGATCTCTGAAGCTAAAGCACGCCTGTTATGGAATATGGTGTTTATACTGTTATGTAGATGAAACATGTAGATTGTAGGCGCGCATTGCGCAAATCTATATAATATGATCTACATATTGTGACTTTTAGAACTCCAAAGAACAAAAAAGATCAAAAACGTGAAAACTATGACGTGAGAATTGAGATAACTTAAATTGTGGACTTGGCTAAAACCTGGGCGGCGAAACGTACTTTTGGCCTTCCGCGTTTTTGACGTCTTAACATTTTGTAAGTTCAAGTTGCAACTCGGTCCTGATTGGACAACAGGCGACAAGTTTCAAGATCAGAAAACCACCCCAACTCTATTAATGTCAGTTAGAGTCAGTTAGGGACAGTTATCTAAACGTCTAGGTGTTACAACTTACAACGAGCCATTAACAGACAATCGCTAAGTAGGTATAGACTTTAGCTAGTAGTCAGTAGAGTCGAAGGTCTAAAGTTATTGTTGTTGGTACACAATGGAGAGACGTGAAAAGGTGATATCTTGCATTTTACTTAAGTGCATGCGCTATATTATATGAAACATGCGAGGAGCTTGATTTGAACTAAATCGCAGGGCGAATGGCGATATCTAGATCGATCTAGCTCGATCTAACCAGGAGAGAAACGGTTATACTTATAATACAACAGACTAAGATTTTGAAAAAGCTCTTAGGTAAACAGTATAATAAGATATGCAGATAAAGCCCTAACTTAGAGTCTATGGTCTAATAAAAGCTTCTATAACAGCCATTATTGTGAATATCATTTAGAGTGGACAGGAATGCTCGTATCAAGCTTTGACTGGGTGGTGGATGGGTTTTATACGATCCACGGATGACGTAATCCAGCAATAGCATGACATGATAGATTATCTGAAATTGATAAAGTCTCTTTATCTGACAGCATGCAACAAATCCATCAGGCTTGATTCTCATTGGTCCCCATAAAACGCCTTGAAGTGAAGTTTCGACGTAAATCAGGCAAAATCATATATGTCATACCAATTATCCATCCTTGCTCGCGTGCCGCATGGCAGGTTTGAATTCTCTAACTTAACAAATTGATTCGACACCGGAAATTGCACTCTTTATTATAGTTCTATATCAAACTATGATGTAAGATTAAAGAGAACTCTATTCTATATATTAATTGTACGCGGGCTCATCGACAAATAAAAGTACCCCAGAGGCAGGCAGTGCAGAGCATCTTCATGCCATCCTCTCGTGGGCCATCCAGGTCCAGCTTCTCTTTTTTTTTAAATAAATGTTTTTTTTAGCAAACGTGAAGGTCCAGAATTACACTAACGACTTACGACCGATTATTCTCCAGGAAAACAGGACCTGTGGTAACAAACGACGGAGCAATATCTGTTGCTAACTGGGACGCAACGACACTGAACGACGAAGGTCCCTACTGGTGCGACGCCAAGTTCGGGGATGTTGGAACACTAACATCTTCCACCGCCGTTCTTTATATCCGAGGTAGGTTATTAGCCTGTCACTCACTAGTAGCAAGCACTGCTCTACCGTTAAAATACGACTAGTTTCTCGTGCCCTGTTCTACGGTCTAAGACCTGTCAAGGAATGAAGGTTGGACTGCATCATTTAAATTGGATGGACCCTCAAATGACAATTTTAACAAGATCGGAGGAGCTGCGTCCGAAATGGCAGATTGGGTGACTTCGTCATATTGTCACCTTTATTCTTTCTGCCAGTCTGTCGCGGCCTTTTCGTTCCATTAACTCTCATAGCCTCAGGAAAATTAATCTGCTCTCAATTAATCAGCTATCAAGACTCCACCGACCGAGAGAATGGTGGTTCTAGGACATGACGCCGCGCTCACGTGCGAGGTTCACGGCAAGGGCTTGATGTTGGTCACGTGGCTCAATGACGAGGAAGAGGTAAAAGTGGACTCTGTGCCGACGGCAACAACTCTTGTAACCAGCGTGTTGGAACTAACCGAAGTGACTGAAAATAAGAACTACAGCTGCAAAGCCACTTTTGCTGATCCAGATGATGAAATCTTATCGGATTTGACTCTCGTTTACGTGGACCGTGAGTGGTTACTTTTTAATGTATATTTAAAAATAGAAATAATATCTAACAAGCCAGGATTAGCGCTATATTATTACTACAAAAGACAAAATTGTAATGCAATTGAACTAAAGGAGACCTGAAATAACCATATTAAGTTTAATTGATAAAATTTAAAAAATATCAATTGAACATAAAAATCGCAATCAAGTAAGACTGATCAATAACCTTAATAACTAATTTCAGAGATAAAAAGCGTAACGAGCTCGGTAACTCTAGTCTCAGGACAATCTGCTACTTTGACTTGTACCGCTGATCAGGACCCGACCTTCTCGTGGTCCTACGTGGATACTGGAGACATTATCAGCGATAACATCGTCAATACTCCTGGTACGTTGTGTTGTGTCATTTTGTTTTTGCACGTGTCGCGCTTGTTTTAAAGTTTAGGGTATATTCAGTTTAAGTAGAATAAGAAGTAATTAATGGTGGAGTAGTTGAAGTTGGAAGAATTCAAAACGTACAAAAATAAAGTTTTATCAAATGCAATGTGAGAATGTGCATTACCAGTCACTACTCTGTTCAAATTTGTCGAACATTTATAATGAAAGTGACTTGGTGAAAATAATCATGAAATGCGAAACAGAAACCGTTATATTGGCTGATAAACAATGAAATCGACTATTCTTGACAACCAGAGCCAATATACAGTGCAATATTGTCACATATTTGATCAACTGGGCGAATAATCTTTGTGCTAAAATAATGGGAAACGAGTAGAAAGCTTTCAGATTAAAGTAAAGCTTTCAAAGAATTACAAAGTTCTACACCTCGTATTATATAAAGCGAGAAAGTGGAAGCTTGGTAGCTTTGTAATCCGCTGGTTCACACAGTGACGCACAGTTCATGTGTTATGCACTTATATAGTATAGTAGTTATATGTGTATATATATATTATATATAATATTAATATACTCACAGGAAACCGTCTCTTTGATTCGACACATTAGAGGAGTCGTTGGAAATAATATAATTAATTTTCGCCATCTAATTCTCGGACAGGTCTATGATCAGAGTTTTCTTCCGAAGAAAAGGCAATCTTCATTCTTCCTGTCCACTTCATACTGAAATTTTTGACGTCAGAGAAATGCTGTGATCAACTCTGACATTAACTTTAAATTCCATTTCTAACTTGGTTCCGTGCAGGGAGTTCGGAGCTGATATTGCCAGGGGTAACGACAAACACCTCGGTACAATGTCACGTGGTGTACCCAGAGACTCCTGGATACACTCTCGGTGGCAGCCTGACCTCAAACTCAGTACCGGTTATTGTTAACGACATTTCCATTCATCCCAAAAATAGGACTGTTGTTATTGGTGAGTTGTTATTATTTTAAAAGGATTTTTCTCAATGTTTCCCCCGTTTTGCCTCAATCTCTACGAGGAAATATAAGCCTAATTCATACTATTTTCACGAGATTAACGTTATCTGACCTAATGTAACCCTGTATAACATATAACCAGGTTATGCCACAACGCTGTACTGTGCGGGAAACAACGAGCCTGCTATCTCCTGGTACAAAGACACCACCCTGATCAGCAGTGCCTCACCTCTGGTTATAGAGTCAGCTCAGACTTCTGATCAGACATCTTACTACTGCTCTCTTACTTGGGAACAGGTAAATAGGGTGTTATCTGGTAGGTTAAGGTGTGTTATCCACTGATTGAAACGTTATCGGGCCAGTCCAGTATCATAGGAGTTATATCCATTTTCAGGTATAAGTATTAATATTATAGGTATTAGGCAAGGTTATAAAAATTACAACGACTAGTATAATTGACGACGGAAATATTATCAGTAATCACCTTCCTCCTGGTCCCCTTCATGATAACCACATAAACCCTGCAGGGTTCGCTAACTACTGATAAAGTGAGGGTAACAGTGCTGGATATCCTAGTGCACCCCATGTCCGGAATAGCAGTAGATGGAGGTAACACTTCAGCTAGTTGTTCCGCTCCTGCTCCTGCTACTTTCCTCTGGTACGTTCTGTTCTTATTCGGCGATGGAATGTTTTGGGCAAATAGAGAAATAGGTACATACCGACCAGCTTAAGTGAGCTTATAGCCGGCCGGGCTTTTTTAGAGAAGGTTTTGTTATAAAAGTATAGTTTGAACTATCTATCCGCAAAATAAAACGTTGCCTGAACACTAAATAACCAACCCTCCAACCTCAGGTACAATAACGACGTGAAAGTGGACCCGGACTCTGATGCACGATACACCATCACCTCCACCACCAGCTCTGATACCTCCAACACCCTGCTGACCATCACTAACGCTACCCCTGACACCGATGGTAGTTACGCGTGTGAAGCCGAGTATCAACCGGATCTGAGTGTAGAGTTTGTGGGAGGGAAAGTGAGGAGTAACTCTGCTACCCTTACTGTTTACAGTAAGTTATAGTATAGATTTTACACCTTTCCTGTTCTTTCAGCTGGCTGTCTTTGTTTGTGGAACTGGAGAGCTAGAGCTGGATGTATTCAACAAACATGATGTTTAAATAGTTAGAATGCTTAAATAGTCACGTTTTTGTAAATTTTGCCATCATTCCAGTTTCTGCGAACCATAGTTACCAAGTTACGTAGTATCTAAAATTAAATGAACTTCCAGGAATAATAGGACACCCTGAAGACAAATTTGTTTTACTTGAGAACAACATAACGTTGTCATGCCAACTGAACGACAGCGCTGCCATCACGTGGTACCACAACGACAGTCCTATTGGCCCCGGAGTTACTTCCACTCAGGGTAAAACCATAACGAGCGAGTTTGCCCTGTCTAAAGTGGATTGGGACGATGCTGGGTTCTACTACTGTGAGGGTTCTTACTCTCAGGGAAAGATCACTTCTACCCCAGCTAAAGTATTTGTTAGAGGTGAGAATGGTTAACGAGTACTTACTAAATATTATATTGAATGTAGTGAATCCTGGGTTTGGAAAGGATATGCCCGTTTAAAATATTTCCATCACGTTACATTACATAATTCTCAATAAATGTAATAGATTTGTAGTGTTGATAGTCTCAACTAGTGTCTAGTCCTTTCTATCAAGCGTTATTTAAACTGGTCATTGGTTATGGTTTTTTACTATTAATGTATAAATGTATACAATGGGCCACAACTATACTAAGACTAACCAACATTCAAATTATGGATCGAAAATCGAGTGGTTGAAAGAGGTATTGAGAATAAAAGGGTTCATGCGAAAAGTACAATTTATATCATTGTCCCCTATGCTTCTATGATCAAGACAAAATATGAATTCTCCTGTAACATGTCGGTTACGGTTTGCTTATTACTTTATTGACCTGAAAGTGGCTACAGTAAAACCCCGATTTACTGTGCCCCGGTTTACCGCGGATGTTTCCTTCCCCCAAACTGCGTGGTAAATCGAGGTTTTACTGTATAACGAAGAAAATCCTCAACTTAAAAATTAAAAATAATCATATATAGCCCTATACTTACGATGATATAACACATAAATAATGGTATGGTTAAGACATTTCCTATTCCCAAAACTACTTGCTTCCATTTTTATAGCGTAAGTGCAATGCAGACGTCACGCCTGTCGGAAAATTTTGATTTCTCGGTGACAGAACCTTTTATTTTGATTTCTGCGTCACAGAACCTATTTATTTTTAAAGGATTTGATGGAAGTATTCATTTGATTTACCCAATATCGTTTCGTATTAGAGTATTAGAGAACGATTTTAACAGAACCTTTCAAATATTACCAACATCCGAGCAACAGGTTCCTCGGAAATTGTAACTGCAATCATTTTAGCGCCGACAAGTTCCAACTGTAAATTGTAATGACATCACCGAAATTGTAATGACATCACCGGTTTTGTCATTAAAAAATGCAATTTGGACGAAAATGCAATTATTCCGACAAATGACGCCGCGATTCAATAGTCGCCATTACAAATTGAAATATTTTAGCTCTAGCTTTGCAGTACACGAAAGAATTGAACGAAACAGTTAAAGTTAGATCTATAGCTCAACTCTCTCCCCTCCAGGTATTTGGGAGGCCCCAGAGCCGGTATTAGTGGTCCTGGACTACCCAGCAACATTCCAATGTGTGTCACGTGGAGAAGCTGAGATCACGTGGTCTTATGGTGAGGTGGAGATGGCGAGCAGTAGTTCTGAGTACGGGGAAAGCAACTGGTTAACCATTGCTTCTTTGACAATCGGTTAGTGCTTTAGTTCTTTTAAACATTCATGTAGCTTCAACTTCCAATAATTTGATCACTAATTTCTTCATGTAAATTTAAACTCTTCCAACCTTCTTTTAATGATTAAAGATATAACCCCCCTGACCCTCCTCCTCCTCCTGCAGATCCGATATCAGTACGAGATCCCGCGCTAGTAACGTGTCATGTAGACTACACCTCTTCCGATCCTATGTCCATCATTTCTGAGGCACAGTCCATCACTGTATTCAGTAAGTTATACTCAGGTGTCATACTAGGTGTTATAGTTATAACTCCTTGTTAGACGGGGTGGAGTAAACTTTCAAAATTCCAGATTTTCAATCCTCCAACTTAAGATTTGGGAACTATTTACATTCGAAAGTCCGAGCATTTTCTACTTTTCTAGAGCCCCTTTAACACTTGCCAACCCTTCATGCCCTGAATATTAAAATGTTGAATTTCCAATTCTGATTTGAGGGGACAATTTATCCTGCTTAGCAAAGATTTAGAAGCATGTATTATCGGGACATCTTGGCATATTTTTGCTGCCTGCATATAATTCATATCATAACTGTACATCGCCTGCATTGCACCATCCGGTTCACGTACCTGCTTTTAAATTACTCAACGGTTAAGTAAAGATTCAGTAGTTTTGATGGTCAATGACTAATGAGGTTAATGAGGGTGTGTCTACTACCATTTAACCATGTAATTTCAGGGGAACTCACAACGAGATACACCAACACACCTCAACCTCATAACCAGTAACCTCTACATACAAATACACACAGTTCACACTGCATATATTATATAATTATACAACATATATATACTTCACATAGTACTGCTTACACTGCACGCGCTGTTAACACGACAAACGACATTTGAACAGCATGCAGCTGAAATACTCTGACGGTATACTCTTGAAAGACCGCACTATATTAGAAGTCTTTGATTCTATCTAAGCAAACAATGCGCTGAGAAATTAATGATCCATTATGAACATTGAATGATTTCTGCACCCATGTTATGATAAACATGTTGTGATCTTTTCAATTTTAACCTATTTGATTTTATCAGAAAAATAAATCAAGTTATCAAAAAATAAAAATTCTGTACTCAGGATTCTTGTCTTGCAAGCGATGATCTATTTTTCATTCAATGTTGATTTTCTTCCTTTAAAAGCACATTCTCTTTGTCCAAAGCACTTGAATTGAACAAGCTAATGGACGTTAAAAACCAACTGGTTGCATAAAAATCAGCCCCACAAATTTCTCCGCATTAAACAAAATAGCATCCTTTTGACAAAACTTCCGTAAAACTTCCGAGCACATCCCTGTCAAAAAAATGTCAAGCCCCAAAATAAACGACAAGCCGTTCACTCATCCACTCATCAGGTGTAACAGAAGACCCTGTAGACACAGTCGGTATCAAGACAAACGACGCGACTATGTCGTGCGTTGCTAGTGGCAACCCGACTGTCACGTGGCAGAAAGACGGAGCTGCAGCACCGGATCTAAAGACAGAGTTAACAGCTGGTGACAACAGTGTTACCTCACAGTTGTTCATCACTGATATAAAGGTAACGTGTTATGAGTTTTAGAGCGGATAAGAATTGTAGATGATGGTCTTTGGAAATACCATGAACGATAGAGACAATTCTGAGACAAATTCATGACAATCAATTATTTCAAGGATTTCATTATGATTATGATTTTTAAGCCTGGCAGAAAACTTCAAAATTCAGGGTCTAACATGATCTATTTGTTGCAGATGTCGGATGCGGGGCAGTACAAATGTGTTGCGGACTACGGTGGTTTAGGAGAACACGACTCACAACCAGCAACTCTTACAGTATATGGTGGGTTTCACTTTCACTGCTTAGTACTCTCACTACTACAAGGGAGGGGTAGGGAGGGGTAGGGAGGGGCAGGGAGGGGCAGGGAGGGGCAGGGAGGGGTAGGGAGAGGCAGGGAGAGATAGGGAGAGACAGGGAGAGACAGGCTAGGGAGGGACAGGGAGGGGTAGGGAGTCTCGTCTGGGGAGATTCTCGTCATTTAATCTAAAATAACAGTGCTAACTTGTAAAAGTTGTTTCCACTTCAACTAACCGAATATTCGTTTCAGAGCTCACTAAAGAACCCATTGAGCAAGCGATAGAGAAAAGTAGACAGGGGGAGTTTATATGTGAGAGTAACGGTGTTCCTGATTCAGTAAACTGGTACAAGGATGGAGATATTATCACCGATCTTACCGACATCAGGTTAACCAACATGTCTTTAGAGACTCAACATTAAAATCTGTCTTAATTCTCTATAATTAATATTGATGACTTAGTTCTTTCTTAACCCTCATAGTCCCACATCAGGGTTGTTTAGTGTAAAATTGATTATTATTATAGTCTATCAGCTCTTAATAAAATAATCTCTCAAACACTTTCCGTTATTAACTCCTTCTTTTCCACTTTAGTCTTTGCTAGATTCTTATTACAATCTCTAAATATCTTTGTAACCCCTCCCTCCAGTACTGTGAGCGCAAAGTCTACCCTAACACTGCCAAGTTTGGAGTTCCCTGACAAGGGTAACTACAAGTGTGAGTTTGTGTTCCAACAGGGTCGTATCAGCTCCAGCGAGGCTTATCTTAGTGTCCGAGGTACTTAACTAATTTTCAAAAATTAATTATTATTATATAACTTCCAGGTGGACTAAATGATTCGTTAATTTTTCGCATTGTAGGATTTTCGACGAATTTCCGATGTTCCGCTATGATCTATCATTTTACTAGGATTTCTAGATTTCGTTCCGAAAATATTCAGAAGAGCATTTTAAAATTTTGTCAGAAAAATCTTGCGCAAACAAACCGGTTTCCAGAAGGAAAAAGAGATAAATGGGGAAGAAGAGAACATTCCATAAAAACGCCGCTCAAATCGCACTCCTCACAACCACACACCCCATTCCATCACGACTTAGAAGAAGTCTCGTTCCTCACAACTAGTATACCAGAGCATGTTTCCGCTGATGAACTGGCAACTACTGATAACACAAGCAATGGAACAGCTCTTAAGATCGTTCCTGGAAAAGTTTATCGGGGTGGAACAACTGGTAGAGTTTCAAATATAGATGGAAAAGAGGGAATCATATCAGGTCAACTTTAGAAGTTTCAATTATTATAACACTTGCCCTCATATCCAATCGTCACTGGTCATATCAGGTCAACTTTAGAAGTTTCAATTATTATAACACTTGCCCTCATATCCAATCGTCACTGGTCACTGGTGCCATTTCATTCATCTTATTTTAGACTAGCTATCATTAACACCCTTCTGACAGAAAACATTACAGACTGTAAAGATGTTTATAAGCAGCGGATATTAATCCGGCTCCATTCATAACTGGTCATGTGTCCTTGATTTCTCTGAATCTGCTAATTGCTAATTGCTGGTACTTTATTTCTTTGAATCTACTAATTGCAATTTGCTGGTACTTCATTCCTCTGAATCAACTAAACTAATGAGTGGCTGGTAGTGGTATATCAAGATTTTTGTGACGTGTTTCGGTTTGCATCCATGCCTGGAGCCAGTAGTTAGCTGGGCAAGGTCCTGAGAATTAGAGATGTCCTGAGAATTAGAGATGTCCTTTGTGGATGTGGTTTCTGCAGCTGAAAGGTCTGCTTAAAGTTTCAGTTTAATGAGTTTGTTCACATAGTCACAGAGAAATCAAGCGCACCTGATCAGTACGAAGAAAATGGTTATAACTCGTTATTCCACTAGGTTTCTACGTGGAGCCCACAGACAGTGTAGGTATCCAGGATAACTCTGTAACCTTCACCTGCATCCTTCACGGAGAATCAGACGCAGCTATCACATGGCAAAAGTAATTGTTATTAGAAGTGTTTCTATTCAAGTTTTTCATGTCTTTACTTTCTCAACAATAAATCTTCGTCGATTCACTCGTAAACCACTTAGAATGTATCGAAATTAACTTATTACTAATTAAACAATTAACAAATTAAACAATTAAACAATTAAACAATTAAACAATTAAACAATTAAACAATTAACAAATTAAACAACTGCAAACCTCAGCCGTGACACAGCGATGGAGAGCCTGTCCAGTATTGTAATTATTGACACAACCTATACGGCTCCCAACACCACCTCCATCCTCACTCTGAACAGCCTGCAACATGGTGTTTATGATGACTCCAGTATCACGTGTACTGCTGATTTCAGTAGTCCTGATCTCAGGTGGGTTTAGTTAGAGAATTTGGATGAAATCATCTTAAATAGACTGGCAGAAAACTTTGTCTGAGTGAAATTTGATTGGCTCACATTTCATAAATGGCAAAAACCACTCGCTTGATTACGAGCATTAAAGTGATTTTACAACTGATCCGTTTTGTTTCAGTCTAACGAGTAGGGTTGGAAAGCTGACAGTACTAAGAATCCTGTTAGCTCCAGTAGATACTGCAGCTGTAAGCTCCCTCACCGCAACTCTTACCTGTAAAGTCGACTCTTCCGGTAAAACCTGATTCTTAATTGTTCACAGCTATATCTTTAGAAGAAGTTACTGACTGATTGATTATCTTTCATCATGATAACTCTTTAAAAACTCACTTAGAACTCACATTACTAGGTGTAATGTCGTGGTACAACGGAGATGAACTAATGGAAGGAGAGAGCTCCTCGACCCTGGTATTTGAACCTGTGACTGATCTGGATCAGGGACAGTACCGGTGTAGGTCCACATTCCCTACTGTCGGTCAGTTTGTTTACGGGGGTGTAACGAGCTCTGCCGAGGTCACTCTCACTGTCCATCGTGAGTATTACCCGAGATGTGTTTTATTAACGTTTCTGAGGAATATTTGAGCATACAATAAGTGATGATGCAGTATCAGTATCGGAACATTATTTATTTAATATTAGTCAATAGTCGCATCGTTTGAAGATATTTGTTCGAGATTTCTTGCACTCACATTGGTGCGAAATAAAGAAACTCCTTCGTGTTCTCAAATTGGTTGTTATGATAATATAGCAGTGTCGAAATCAGTGAATTATAAAATATATAACATAATTACCGCAGGATTCACGACTGAGCCAGTGACGAGACACGTGACACTGGGAAGCAGCACTTCTCTCAATTGTGAGGGTAGTGGGGACCCAGAGATAGTCTGGTTCAAAGGTCAGTGCTTCACCAGTATAGCACCTTAGTAAAGTATATTTAGGTTAATCTTTATAGTTTCAAAAACGTGCCCGTGCTAAGTTTGAAGATATCCGTGAATTAAAAAGCTCCGTTTTCAGGTACAGATGAAGTTCAACGAGGCAGCTCAGCAGACCTGAACCTGTCTGATGTTACCTTCACTGATGATGAGGAGTACACGTGCACACTTGTGTATCCACAGGGCGAGATCTCCTCTGCTCCAGTTGATATCCACGTTAGAGGTAAGTACCGGGAAGGTTCTGAGGATTGTTCAGGGGTTGTTCGTTTGTTGTTTGAGCGGGTGTAAGAAAATGGTGAAAATGGTGGAAAAGTTCGCCACGTTTTTCAACATTTTCGAACACTGGTTCTACTGTTTGTCCCCACAGTCGTCGGGTGACAAACACTTGTTGTTCGCTTGTTGTTCACTTGTTGTTCTGTGGTGTTATTATATGTATGAATGACAGCACTGTTTGTTTTTCATGGGTAGTTGAGTATTGTAAGTCGCTGCAAACGTTATCGGTTGTTTTTGTAGTTTATGTTTTCATCGTATTGTGACGTTGAACCCCACTTTGTTCTCATCGTTTTCCGTGGAGCAGATTTTATTAATACAGTAACAGTATAATACTCCACTTCACCGCTTCATCAACCTTTTTAACTGGAGTGCTTTAAACCAAGTGTTCAAAAGAGCGTACCGAGCTTCTCACAAATTATGTACTTGAGTAACCAGCTGCCCTTGCAACCAGCTCCCACATCATCTCTAAATGATTGCATAACTCCCATCATTACAACAGTTGAGTTTAACAACAGTTTAAACCCTAAGCTTTACGTAGCACATCATCAGTTGGCTGGAATGTCCGTGTTTTCTCACCGGTTGTTTGATGATGCAACTTATTCATCATAAGTATCATTATCAACAGATCGGCTTTTTGATGATTTTACTTGCCAATATAACACGAGGGCTTGGTGGTTGAAGCACTATTCCGCTTCAACTTACCCTCAAAACAATAACACATAATTAAAAGTGCACGATAAATCTCATCTTCCTTTGAATAGAAGTCGTGCTTTGGCTGATCACGTGGTATCGTGTGTCAAAACTGAACACAATCAAGAAATTGCATTACTCTGAAAATGCTTGTCAAAACAAAAAACAACCGCTGGACTGATATTAGTCTCCATTGGACCAGCATATTGTTTTCATACATAGTGAGGAGCCTCTTTTTAACTTGGCGGTATTGTTAACAAGCTTTTTCTCTATTGATCCATTGTTCTATAGTTTCGTGCAGCTGCGAGCGATGTACTTTGTTGCTCTCGCCTGTACTTTTACGCTTTACTCATTCTCATCGCACTTTTTCTGTATCGTATCTCGTTCTGTGTCAGAGTTTTGTGGACATGCTGGTTTCCGGAATGTTCTCAGACTCACCTCATCATCTTCATTAGACAGGATGTTGCAATACATTAGCAAATGCTGTCATAATGTGACGTTGACAGACGTCATCATGCCATTCCCAGATCATTTATTTTGTCATGTAATCCATTGACTTGAGCCTCATCCAGCACACTTTTCAATTGTTGTATTGTTTTGTTCTGTTGAACTTGGCGGGGATTGATATGCGAACCAGCGCGAGTAACGTTATGACGACAACATCATCTTACCATAATCTGTAATCAAATGGTTTACAATCGTTTGATTACCACTTCTGAAACTCACTATATTCCAGAAGTATTATTCACTGCAGCCCTACCATCGGTTGACTCAATAGATTTTGGGTCAAACGTTTGCAAAAATCCGTAGACATAACAGACATTTGACGAAACGACCGACCTTCCAAAACATATCACTAAATATCGGTTTTTCACATATCGATAATCCATCAAGTGATAATAAAAACAAACAACATTTCATAATTTAAAAAAACAAAATTTGGACCAATTAATTTAAATGAACTCATCAAGATATGATGTGTATTTGTTATTTCTACATGTTCTTGCCTGTACCATCTGTAACTGCATGTCAAACATTAATATTCTGAAGTAAACCCCACATTTACTTACACATCTTTATCATCTTTATCTCTATCAGAATCTAAACTATCTCGTTTATGATTCTACAACATTCCACCATCTGTTCTAACAGAACATAACACCACGTGGCGTCATCACATGACGTCACATGGTTGTGACGTCATCACACTGGTGATGACGTCACAACTGTGATAGAACCCTCCGTGGCTGATCCGCTAGTAAACTCTTGCAGGTGTTTCCACCTCGCCCTCACAAGGGACAGCTGTGCTGGGCCAGAGTGTGATGTTCCAGTGTATGGCTACTGGAGACATCCAGCCAACATTCAAGTGGACTCGTAATGGAGATGATATTAATGGAGGTGAGTGTCATTGCTCAAACACAAGGAAATATTTTGATACAGGTAGGACATTTTGTTGCTTGTACAATGGTAATTTACACTAGAGAGAATTCATGAAAACCACCTCCATCACTTCAGAATCTGAAAACGTGTTTGAGTCGCTGTTGACCACCACAACTTTCTCATACGCGGGAGTAGTAGAGGATGACACCACAGCGGAGTTTAGATGTATCGCTGATTTCCAGGGACAAACTCACCAATCTGAACCTGCTTCCGTCACCGTACTAAGTAAGTTTCACGGGAGAAATTACTGTAAGTTTTAAAATCCCAGTAAAGTTACTGAATTATCATTTGTTGCCCAGCGTTTGATATTGATGTGTCAAATCATAAACTATGTCAAAAGATAGTCCTATTCCAAAGGTTAAAGCAGGCATTTCAATCATCCACATAGATTAACTGATAGTGGTATAGCCACTTCAACTGTCAGCTAACTAAAATTGAATTAGATACATGTCCTGCCAAAAATAGAACTATAGTTTAACTTTACATCTCCGGTTTGAATGGTGACCCAGTTTTACTACCGTCGACACTTATTAATAATTATAAGGTGACAATTTAATCATTTGAGGACTATCCTTCTCTGACACATCAAATTATCAGCCATAAAATATATCTGATATCCTCCAAAGCTGAAGTGTGGCTGAAACGCTACGCCGACCTAGTGCATATAAGTTGAAATATTTAGCTCTTGTCTGTTAAACAGTTAACGTTTAAGACACTCGTTACAGTGCTTATCCGTGTATACTGTATAAGATACAGTCCGACTAACCCCTCTCCTAACCCCTTCCCTAACCCCTCTCCTAACCCCTCTCATAACCCCTCCCCTTACCCCTCTCACAACCCCTCTCACAACCCCTCTCCTAACCCCTCTCACAACCCCTCTCCTAACCCCTCTCACAACCCCTTTCCTAACCCCTCTCCTAACCCCTCTCCTAACCCCTCTCATAACCCCTCTCCTAACCCCTCTCCTAACCCCGCTTCTAACCCCTCTCATAACCCCTCTCATAACCCCTCTCATAACCCCTCTCATAACCCCTCTCATAACCCCTCTCCTAACCCCTCTCATAACCCCTCTCCTAACCCCTCTCATAACCCCTCTCATAACCCCTCTCCTAACCCTCTCCTAACCCCTCTCCTCCCTCAGAAGTGACCACACCCCCTGTGGGAGTTTACGGAGTGGTAGGAGGAGCAGCCTCCTTCTCCTGTGTAGCTGCTGGGAACCCCAACCCTACTGAGTTCAGCTGGTTACTGGGCGGAGTTGTAGTGGGAGTCGAGGACACTGTTACCAACCCGTCAGACTCCACTGTCATGAGCAAGGTAAGGGCCCGAGGATGCACACTCTGGTGTGAACTGGTTTCTAGTAACTAGTAAGGCAACAGTCTCTTGAAGTACACCTTCCAAACTAAATGTTTGAAGAAAGAAGCTTTTTTGCACCTCTCGGATCTTGATGTAAGTATTGTTTGAAATGGCAGGTATGACTAAACAACCTCCCCTCCACAGATAACAGTAAGCGACCTGTCACGTGAAGATCACGGAGATTACACGTGTGTACCCGACTATCCTGCTGAACTTGATAATCTCTTCTTGGGTGGTACCACTGAGTCTTCTCCTGGAAAACTCTCTGTTATTGGTAAGTTTTGTTTTGTGTTTTATATTTTTTACTGATTTTGTTGGGTCCTTCAAGCCGTGCCATTTTCTTTTATTTGTTGTCTGATTTTGATGAAAATCGTTTTTCTGATATAAGTTGAAAATGGAAGGCTTTTTGTTCGTTAAAAATGTATGATCAATTGTTGGCAGAAAAGAATATAATATTTGGAATCACAGAGCTTTAAAAACGGACATTTGATTTTCCTCTAAGTCTGCTAAAACTTGATAATTCGTTACTCATAAAAGATGCCATTGCTATTACATCTATATTGAATCGGATTGACTATTCTAATGATTGCTTGGAAATTCGCCGGCTGACATGCACTACTATGATTGCTCCATTAATCGTTCCTTATCAAACAATAGAATAGCAATCAAAATAAATTAGAGTGGGAAATTTGGAGACAGCAAGATGTCATTCTATGATAGGTCATTCATTGAACGTAGAATCTTTGGCTGGTTATGCATGCTAGATCTTGAATATTTCAGTGTTAATATGATCATATGACAACGAATATAACTTTCATCGCCACGATGTTCGATAAGAAGTGGTTGACCTGTGTAACTGTGCGACTCTCGAGTAGCATCAATAATGATATTCACTATATTCAGCATTGCATGCGACTATTCCTGCCACCAACAAACTTAATCTTTAATAATGTCACTTGATTGATAACGCTGTTCGTGATAAAGTGATAATAACGCTGATGTTGCAATACATGATGTACGGCCGAGTCACTATTATTATGTGATGCTGGACATGACAAATTTGAAAAGTTTTTTTTGGTTTAAAATTAATTATTTATGTGAAATATCAACAAAAAAATCTCCATGAGGACCTTTCCTCGTTTTGAACAACTCCTTTCTGAGCAACAAAAATAAGTTTACGGGTGATTGTTAGAAAGTGGTCTAAACGGATTGAACATAATTCAATAAAAGTTATATTGAGTTGAATTTTCAAGCAATAAATTAACAGTCTCCATTTCCCAGGTCTGACAGAACCGCCAGTTCAAACGATTGTAAAGGTTGGAGATACGGCAACCTTTACTTGCAAAGCTAACTCCGAACCTGTCCCCACCCTCTCTTGGTTCAAATCCGGTTCTACTATTACCTCCGGGTTAGTTTGCTTCTCGTAACTTTTACTTAAATTCTAAAATTTAGCAATTTGAATTAATAATGCCCAGAATTCGACATATATCATTTATAGAATGCATAAAGTGGTAGAAGTATTCTTCTTCAATAAATAGATAAATAGTTTGTAACCTGGCCTTGTTTAATTAATTAACTAACTAATTAATTAACTAATTAACTAAATGTAACCTTGATTAACTAATCGCCCTCTCTCAGAGTCTCCGCCCCGGAGACAGTAGGTGACGAAGTAGTGTCCTACCTAGCTATCAGCAACGTAGGAGACAGTGATGTAGCTCCCTACTCCTGTAAAGCAGACTACCCCTCTCTGGCTTCCCATCTTTCTGAGGACGCTTTCCTCAGATTCAGAGGGATCGAGGAGTTGCCACTGGTGACCCCGGCAGTTATTGGGAAGCCTAACGAGATGAACTGTACAGCTAGGGGAGAAGCGGAGGCGGAGATGAAGTGGCTTGCTAATGGGACTGAGATTACAGTTTCAGAAGTCTACAGTATATTTGTTGCTTCTAACTAGTAAGTGTTAAGAATTAAAGAAGTATATAAATATATAATTAAAGAAAGAAAAACAAATTAGGGACATATTTTATAGAGATCAAAAATGTGAGAATATGAAGTTTGCTATGAGTTAGAATGGATAGAAAGACCATATAATATTATATCCTGTTTTATTTGTCGTTTACAAATGTGCTAGACCTAACACCCTAGTTCCAGTGACCCGGCAAAGCAGCAAGATCTAATAGACACACGGACAATCCTGACAGTCTCCACTGTTACACTCCCAATCGCATTCCTGGAGATCACGTGCTCTGCCACCTGGGAGGGCTCGGACGGACAAGCTTCCGAGGTGGTCAGTGATCCTGTTAACTTCGACCCTCTTTACGTGTACAAATCACCGATAGACACGATAGCAGTCCGGTACACGACGGTGGAGTTGTCCTGCTCCGCTACCCGGACACCTCTAATCCGGTGGGACAGATCCGGCCGGACTTACGGAGTAGGAATAATAGACATAGATGGAAAAGAGAGAACCCACTCCACGCTGCGTATAGGAAACGTGACTGAGGCAGACCAGGGTAACATCTGGTGTGTAGCTGAGTATGACGGGGGAATGCACGACTCTGATAAAGCACAACTTACTGTTGTTGGTAAGTTCCCATTTTGTTGATTTTTGTCGGAAATCATGGCGACAAGGCGGCGCGAATAACAAAAAATTCTAAATTTTTAACCTTTTAAAATGTTTGTTAATAAACAAGATCTCAGGTATACGGAGTGAACCCCGGACACAGATATTATTACAGCGGGGACTTAGTGTGGAGTTTACTTGTGTTGTAGACAGATACCCTCTCAACACAGTCTCCTGGTACAAGGGGGATGAGAAGATACAAGACTACGACAACAGGAAAGATGTAAGTGATTTTTGCTTTTGGTGGTTACGATGATGGTTGGGCGGGGAGGGGGGTAGGAGAGGTATTGTTTTCATTGAGTTTTAAATTAGAGGAGCACGCCCGTAGAGGAGTTACTTACTGGCTGGCTTAATAAAAATTTTACCTTAGAATCGATCACAAAAGAATAATATTAAACTTTCACTTTAAACCAAGTCTGTGACAAGTTATTAAAATTTAAGTTTTAGTTCTTTAATTTAATTTAATAATTTAATAATTAAATAACTTAATAATTAATGACTGAAATTGTTACTGTTCGTATTGTTGCTGGTAATAAGTCTCCTACCTACAAAACAATGTAGTATCAGTCTGTAGATAGCCGGAGTCCTCATAGCGTACACCACTGAGTCCCACAACAAATTAAAATAAAACATCACAATAGTAACCTTGAACCCTGGCCTCCTTATCTGGAAGAACAGCCCTTCTGTCATACTGTACACAAAGGGGAACCAGGCGACAAAGAAACCAAACGTTATCAGAGTCAGAGTGACGGCCATCTTAATTTTTTTCCGGAGGTTCTGAGATCTGTTTTTGAGTCCAGCTTCCTTGTTTTTAGAGTTTCTGGTTCTGATGTGTTTCCATATCTCTATAAATATGCCCACGTGCAGGAATGTCATGACCAAGAAGGGGAGTCCAAAATAGACAAGATGTACCCACCACATGTACAACTTGCTGTTAAAGTCACACCTCTTAAGGGTGGTGTCGTAGCTGACAACCAGCAGATCAGAGAAGGTATCCAGGAGGAGTTCCACTAGGAACTTGAGGAGCTGAAACAACCAGAGTCCTCCTATTAGAGTTGCTGTAACTCGGCGTGTCATGATACTGCTGTAACGTAGCGGTCTCTTGATTGCTATGTACCTGCGGTAACAGATAGTTGGGATCACGGCTAACCAGTCTTAAATTTATAAGTCAGATCGAGTCTTACTGAAAAGTCTTCTTACCGTGTGTTACCTTGCAATATCAAACACACGTTTAAGATAGATTACAATACACACCTGTCAACTGTAATGAAGAGTATCGCTACAGAGCACTGCATTCCAATCCATGATATGAAGTAAGGTGTCATCGGACACAAGGTTATAGTAAAGTTGTTCATCTGATGAGATATTTTATTGCTGTCAGAAGATGCAGCTGTAGTTTTAGGATGAGACTGCATGGTTTTAATTAACTTTAAATGTTTATGTGCATTGCCTTAATATTGCTTCCTTTTGAAGAAAATTGCATTGTGGTAAATTTAAATATTTTACTAGTATATTTACCTTAACAATTCGGTAATGTAGCTACGCACGGTTAAGGCTCGGTTAAAGCACAGTTATGGTACGGTTAAGGCACGGTTAAGGTACGGTTAAGGCACAAGGGTTACATAAGGCACGGTTGAGGCACGGTCACTTAATTAAGGCACGGTTAACGCACAAACTGCCCATAAGCAACAATTATGGTCGTTTAAGGCACGGTTAATGCACGGTTAAATATAACCTATAAACATACAATTACAAGTAAGTGGTTAACTAAGGCACATGATCTGAATGTGACGATCTGTAAATTTTACAGTGCGGTTGCCGCTATGAATAAACATTCTAATTCTAACAGCCTTACTTCGTGTGACCGTCCTATACTTGAAATCCTTATTTTGATTAACGATCTTTTCAAGTAACCAGGCTCTTCAAATTAAGTTAACATCTCCTAACCGTGCGTTAACAGGGTGTAGCTACATTACCGAGTTGCCGACAACCTAATTGGCATTTATAGAATATGTCGATATGTCAAAATGCAGCCTATAATAGAATAAAGTGCTTAAATCCGAATATCATTACATCATGATATCTTACCTCGTAAAAGTTTTTATTAATGATTCCAGGGCCCCGCAAAGTGGCTCCGAACAAAGCTAAAAGCATGTCAAGAACCAGTAGATTTAGAATAAAGGATAACATTACGGTTATCTTTTTCCGGTAACGTAGGAGAACCACCTGAGTGATACAAATCTTACTATATATAAGGCGAGACGATATATATGGATATATGGATGGATCCGTGCCATTTACTGACACCACGGCATCAACTTTAATGTGACTTTCCGCCGTAAAAGATATACAACTGAAACTTTTTTGACTGGGTCAAATGCTTTTATGCCTTTCAGATCAGCATGAAAAAATAAAAAATTGGCCAAGTAATAGGAGTTTTAGAGCCCAAAATTTGGACTCCCAAGTGGTGTCAAAAACGTGAATTAAATAGGTAATAATTATTTTAGTCTCTTGAGTGATCTTGACACCATTTTAGGGTTATACGGGTTCCTGCTAGAAAGTATAAAATTGATACATTAGGTTAGGTTTTGGAATACCCTATTCTGTTAGAACCTTCCCTGAAATTGAACAAATAACATGATTCTTGATCGACGAAAGTCGGTGGTTGCACAATATGCAAGCTATGAAAAGAAATAAGAAATTTTCAATAATATAACAAGACGATATTTGAATATGGAAATTGGAAATGAAAGATATTTCTTTAGGTAATATTAATATTAATCTTACCACAACTAGAGTATTTGTAAGGAAAGCAGTTGCAGAAAATAGGACTGTAAGTTCTCCAATCATCGTTATTTTAACTTAAATCACAAGAGTTAATATAATTTTATTAAACTGAAGGATATCATAGCGCTCTGACAAAACATGGCTACCAAGATCTCGGTGGTTTACAGGGCATTAACACTTCACGGAAATCAGCTCGCAAATACGGGCCAACCTATTCAAATCATAAAACTGAGAATTTAGCGTAATCATTTACGTTTATTTAAAGCAACCTGATCCTTTGCTAGATTAGAGGCGGACAGCTGTTCTTTTGAATTTAACATCGTAATGCAACTTGGTTTGATTTCTTTTCAAGTAAAAATCACGAAGAGTCATTTCTATATAAATACATACTCAAATTGTTGCCTTGAACAGATAATATTGAGGGATCTGAACATGAATGAATTATTTGCATTTATTTACATAATATCTGGAAATGAAAGTTAAAGGTTGATCTTTATATTTAATAAAAAATACAGTTAGCTACTCAGTTCTCAGTTGGTATTGTTTATGTAGGTGCGAAAATGCCATTAGCGCGTCTAGACTATTTCTACGTCAAAACTTGTTCAATTGTTCGCCAGATGTTTGGACCGTTCGCCTAATTGAATGTATTTCTGATATAAATGACCTAAAAAGTTGAAAAAATAAAAATATTTCAAAAAAGACAAATGATCAAGCTAAGAACTATGACAGGTCAGAAATCATTATCTGAAGTCTGCGATCTTGACTCTTAATTCTGATTTCTGAAATGAAACCACTATCATCAAAGTCTGCACAAATCTCTCAGAAAGTCTCAAGTTGATTTTAAAGGAGCAAGTTTATAATGGATGTTAGTTGTTACCCTACTTTGTTACTTTGGATTTGAGACGGAATGTACGGGAGGGATCAGTTTTGCAGCTGTTAGTCACAGTTGCGGCGGAATAATGGAACTTATGATTTTAGCAGCTGGATTGCGCTAACACCTCGCAAATATTTATAGATTGTCACTTAGTAATTTTCAGAGCTAAAACAAAATGTAAAATGAGTGCCGTGTCGAAAAATTAGAATCCTAGGAATTGTTTTTAGCATCCTGAAATCTATATTAAGTGAAAGTGATTTTAACCACAGCTCCGAACGAGTAATAAAAAATCCATATTACTTTATGGTCATTTCAATCGTGAAACTAAATAAACTATCGAAATTGAAATCAGTGAAGATCAATCAGCAATGAATCACATGGTACTTTCACTGTAATTGTTAGTGTTGTTAGTGGTATAATCAGTAGTATTATTGTTATTTCTGGTAATAAGTCTCCTACCTACAAAACAATGTAGTATCAGTCTGTAGATAGCCGGAGTCCTCATAGCGTACACCACTGAGTCCCACAACAAATTAAAATAAAACATCACAATAGTAACCTTGAACCCTGGCCTCCTTATCTGGAAGAACAGCCCTTCTGTCATACTGTACACAAAGGGGAACCAGGCGACAAAGAAACCAAACGTTATCAGAGTCAGAGTGACGGCCATCTTAACTTTTTTCTGGAGGTTCTGAGATCTGTTTTTGAGTCCAGCTTCCTTGTTTCTAGAGTTTCTGGTTCTGATGTGTTTCCAGATCTCTATAAATATGCCCACGTGCAGGAATGTCATGACCAGGAAGGGTAGTCCAAAATAGACAAGATGTATCCACCACATGTACAACTTGCTGTTAAAGTCACACCTCTTAAGGGTGGTGTCGTAGCTGACAACCAGCAGATCAGAGAAGGTATCCAGGAGGAGTTCCACTAGGAACTTGAGGAGCTGGAACAACCAGAGTCCTCCTATTAGAGTTGCTGTTACTCGGCGTGTCATGATACTGCTGTAACGTAACGGTCTCTTGATTGCTATGTACCTGCAAAAAATCAAGATCAACGATAAATGTAGAAACAAAAAATCTCACTAACAACGTCGTTATCTGCGGAAATTCTTCTTCAAGAAACGGAAAAAGGCAGGTTAAGATCAGTTCATCTACCTGTCAATTGTAATGAGGAGGATTGCAACAGAGCACTGCGCAGGGATCCAGGTTATGAAGAAAGGCATCATCGGACACAGGGTCATAGCCCAACCGTACTTCTGAAACACACAAAACTGCATAGTTAACTTCAAACTTTATTGTTGAAAAACTCTGGCAGTAATATATCAATCATTTGACGGATGTGATGCACGTGATTTGCAGCAAATTAAAAAACATTGTTACCTCGTAAAACTCTGTGTCAATAATCCCGGGGCCCCGGTAAGCAGCACCAAACAGAGCGAATATCCCGTCCAATATCAGCAGGTTCAGAATGAAGGATAACATCACTGTTAGCTTCTTGCGGTGGTACAGCAGGACTGACTGAGTAAAAATATTGTTGGGACAAATTGGTGTAATTCATGAAGACTG